ATTTCTCACATCTACAAAACAAAATTTATAATATTATTTAAAATTATTAACAGCTGGGATAACTTAAATGCTAAGTTTACTCAAATAATTTGCGTACAGGAATTACTTTTTGTTTGCAAGAATTTAGTCATGTGTCGAGCTAAACAAAATGGTTTTGGTCAGTTAACTATGCATGCTAAAAGCAAGTGATTTGTTCCTAATGTGACGGATTTAAAACTTGGTCTTCATCATATTACTTTTGTCAGTATCATTTGAGGCAGCACAAAGTGAAGCTTGCAAGAGATGCAACAATTTGCAACATATACCCAGAGCTAGATTTATTTTTGACCTATCCAATACTTCATCAATCCCGCTCTTTCATGACCATTGTAAGACGGACAGAAAGCTATAAGTCAAATTGTCCATTAATATTAAATGCTTTGCATTAGAAACTTACAAAACAAACTGAGATGAACATAAGATGGAGTAGTTACAATAAGGCCTAAATGTTCATGCGGGCAGTGGTATGAGCTAGTGAAATAAAATTAGCATTAACTAAGTAGAAAAATGTCTCATCCACTAAGCTTTATGAACTGACATCAGGGTCAATAAAAGATAGATAAAAATGGTTTCCTGTTTCCCTGCCTTTGATGTCCATGTGCGAAAATTGCTTGCTCATTCTTGCTTGTTCACCCACCTAATGTGATATCTTTTCCTTCATCCCAATTGCGATATAAATTTCTTCTTGATCTCATTCCATGCCCAGTACGTGTTTCTTTCGTTTACCTTATAACACAGAAACAAAATTATCTGACTTAATCCGTCTTACAGGCTTCCAATTGATACGAGACTCATTTGATCAAAATACATTATTGTAGGAAAGTTTTAGGCTCCACTGTGCATTACTCCGGTCTGGTTGAAACAAAATTTCTATATTTGCTTACGACCAAAAGTTAACCCAAGTGCCATATTACACTAACAACATTTACACATACAAAAATTTCTTTGAAATAAGAATTTCTTCATGTCAGTCACCAACATATTAGTATGAAAAGGAGGCACAGCCTGGTTCACACAGAGAACCTCGTCACATGTGTCTTTTTGGCTAAGAAGTGAACCTTAACAGGCAATTGCAATAAAACTGCAAGTTTCACTTCCTTAAGACCCGAGAGCAAATGTAAATAGAAGATGCAAAACTTAATTAATGAGAGTCAGGAATTCTTATTAGCCTGATAGGAGAAAGGTCCTGAAGAAGTCGACCAAATAAGCTTCAGTTACTTACGTTATTATAAAACGCGAGTATTAATGAAAAAACTGCTAACTTAAATACTGACAGATGAAAACACTTCAGGGCCACTTCCTTTAAACAAATATAACGAATCACGTTAGAAATATATCCATCAAACCAGAGCATATTTGAATAAGGCTCTCCTCCACACTGTTTCAACAAAAATATTGGAAATTCATTAATTAACATTATGTGCAATATAAATGCAACATTATATTATAAACAAAGTCTCAGCTGTTGGTTCTCTCACACGCACCTCTCCACATAAAACAAAATGATCACTTTTAAACAATGTTTACAACTCTAAATAAGGGTTTATCTGAATTAACTTGTCTCCATGAAATCAGACTTTTATCACAGGTCTGGTCTTAACTGCTTACATATAGGAAAAAATGAGGGCTCAGTGGCCTGGTCTCAGCTTGTACTTGTTGCGGGATTGTTGCCATCTGGCAGCGTCCAGGGTTTAAGGGGTTCAGGCACCAAGTGGGGTGTTCGAGAGCTTATGGGAGGCAGTATGGGGGACACCGGCCAGGGGTGCGGGGCCGACGAGTGTGGCACGCTTCTTGAGTGGGGGAGCGCGAGCGACCCCGGCCCGAGGCCGGATGGCACCACGGCGGTCCCCAAGTGTCCGGCCAGTGGCCCAGAGTTGGGGGTGGTCGTGCTGAGCCCGGTGAAACCACTCATCGAGTTGGAGCCCGGGCCTCCGAGTGAGCCTCCGCCCAGGGAGAGGGTCCCGCCCCCTATGGAGCCCCCGCCGAGGGGCCCGCCCAGGGGCCCCCCCATGCCGGACAGAGGCGACGGCCCCCCGAGCCCGCTGCCGGACGGTCCCCCGGGAGGGCCCGGGCCGTGGCTTGGCGTCAGAGGGGCGATCGTCGCGGCCGACTCCGGGTGCAGGAAGTTCCTCCTCTGCTCGGCCTTCTCCGCCTGCTGGGCGATGCAGCGGGTCAGCAGCTCCGGGAGCAGGTCCATCTGCTCCTGGATGTTCCGCAGGCTCTCCTCCATGGCGTTGATCCGCTCCTCGAGCGTGTCCTGCCGCCCGCTCATGTCCGACACGATCTCGTAGACGGAGTTCTGCGTCTGTTGGGACGGAGAGCACACACTTTTACTCCACAGTTGCCGCATGGATGTGAGATGGAGCACATTTAACCGCAGTCTGTCTTACTTTGGCCATGTCAGTTATGGTATTGGCATTGTCCATCAGTTTCCTTTGGTCCATCTTGACTTTCCTTAAGCTGTTCGACAGAGAAAATCAAAATCAGTTTTCAGTCCCCCCTGTTTGACCATGGCGCCTTACGACAGTCGGGTAGGCAACCCGCCCACGCCCACGCGTGGCGGTACAGTCTAAGCAGCAAATTGCAGGCGTCCTCCAGCTACTCAAAGTACAACGATAAACAGCGAGTACTCACGCATAAATCGCGAGCAGGAACTTCCTCTGATGCGTGCGGACCCGTCCCGCGTTGACGCGCTTCACCAAGCGCGTGTGTTTGTAAATCAACCATGTTTCCCGAAGCACATTGGCGGCGGCATTTTTCAGCTGAAACAGAAGCAAATAAAGTGAGACTCCTGCAAAAATATGAGTCTCCACCGCTCTAGGATGCGACGGCGCGCTGTAGCCTTACGCACAATTGAGGATTCTTTGTGTTAATTTGCGAATAGTTTCTCTTGAAATGCGAAGAAAATCCTTCGCAATTGCACAAGAAATTCCTTCGCACGTTTATAAAGCAGCAAAATCCTTTGCAATACAAAACAATCCTTCGCAAGTTTTCATCAGCGCGGTACTTACTCGTTTTGTGAGCTGCGTGTCCATCATAAAGTTGTGCACGTGTTTCTCAGCCCTCGTCAGTTCCAGCTTGCGCGAGACCACAGCCACGAGCAGCGCTGTACATCCGGCACCCTGCCCAAGCAGATAGCAACCAATCAGAGAATCGTCAGACGCTACACGTTTACTCGCCAAAAAATCGCACTGAAGCTCACCCGATATGACTATATATACATCGCAAACAGCAATCATAAATAAAAACAAGCAGAACCAAAATAAATCTGATTCAACCTTATTATTGGCATTTCAAGAAAATGGCTGTACAGTGCTAACGTATTTTGCACTCATGAACAACAACGATTTTGACCAGTGAGACTAAAAAAAACGAGAGCGATGAGAATGATATTGAAAAGCATGTAACTTTGTTGTAGCCTGGTCTCATTCTGTGCGCCGGCGGGTCGGGTCCCGGTCGGGCCGCGGCCCCGGGCCGGCTGCAGGTCACCGCCGTGGACCCCGCCCCTGGCCATACGCGCCCCGCGCCCAGGCCCACTTACCATGACGCCCGTACTGACTGCGATTCCTCGGCCGCAGTAGGTGTTGGGCACGATGTCACCGAAGCCGACACTCAGGAACGTGATTGCGATCAGCCACATCGAGTTCAACAGGTTGGCGTGCTCTTCGTCGTGAAACCTGATTGGTCCAGAGCATGGCACATGTCACAGCCGCGTCCAGCCGCGAGGCTTGCATGCCGTGCCGAGCCGGGAAGGAGGTAGGGGGGCGGGGCGGTGAGGCGGGAGGGAGGAAGGATTCTCGTCACGTCTCGTCTTTGTGTGGGATGGGTCGGCGCAGTGTACATGCTCTGTCCACCCCTGAGCGGCACCGGCGGCCCCCGGGCCCGCATTCAGGGGGCCTGTCCGCAGCCCTCGCCTCGCAGAGAGAGAGATACAGAAATAGAGAGAGCCAAAGTGGGTGCGAAGACATGCATCTCTGCCTCGGTACCGTCTCATTCCCATCGAGTCCCTACCGGAGTGAGCATTCTGTCAGGCCAGTGCGTCACGGGACCCTCCTCGCAGGCGCACCGAATGAAACCAGGCTCGCTTCCACTTACCATGGTGCCGACAGTGAGGGTGATGCCACGGCCGCAGTACGTGTTCGGGACAATATCTCCATACCCTATGCTCAGGAGGGTGATGGCTACCAGCCACATGGCGTTTAACAAGTTGGCGTGATCCTCGTCATGGAATCTAGAGAGAGAGAACACGCCCATTGTAGCTTTGCTAACGGCTTAGCAGAGAGGCTTGCCTCTCGCTTCCAAGTAAAATCACGCAACTCCAGGGTAGAGACAACACAGCCGAGACACTGCTGTCATGCTCGTGGCACTCAAGAAATGAGTTGCTTTTGGTTTCATCCGAGTTTGATTCGTTCGAACTTTTTGGCTGAACCGACGGGTCTTGTTAACTAGCTGACAGCTCTACTTTAAAGCATCATTGGCAATTCTGTGCTTGGGGTGAAGGGTGCAATCTATGGAACGCCGGTGTCTCTCATAACTATTTCTACAAAAAATATAAATTTTAAAAAACGAACAACCGATGATTTTAATACTATTCCTCGATCTAATTTAATCTGATTTTTGCTTTTATGTTTTGAAAACAGATAAAAAGATGCAGATTTTAAACTGTTGTGTCTTAACGATGATCAAACGTGATGTTGGTACAAGAACTGTTTTGATGTCACGCTACCTTTTGCTGACAAGCAACAGCATGGTATCCTAAAACGATTTATTACGTGCCTGTCTCTAAACGAAATATAACATTCTTAACTATTTTTAGTGCAGAAATTACAGTTTCAAAAATTGAACCAAGAGTGGACATACAAAACAGCAAAAAGCATCTACGTAAGTCCAGAGAAAAACTAAGAAACGAATTCAGACTCTACGGCTAAAGGTGCAGTCCGCACTAATTCTCTATACTACCATGCTCGACAGCAAAAGGAAGGAACTTTGAGAGAATGGAGGGCGGATTACTTTTTTTTAAAAATAAGCCAGGGATATTATTTTTGAAAAGACTTTATCCCGAATAGCGCCGTGTTGTTGAGTCGATGCGCTTCAGAGGTCTTCACCGGAAGAAAACCTGCTGGAACTAAGAGGTTAATAGAACTCGATATACTACGGTGCTATCGTGGCAAAAAATAGTGCTACGAGTACAAGTGATGTTTTCGTTTTGCTGGTAGAAGCATATATGTATACCGCAACGAATGGCTAAGAGTAGGACGCTGTCAGCGGTTAAAACTAAAGCGAACACCCCCGTATGCCAATCTCAGAGTGTAGGGAGAACACCTTGGTACCGTAAGTAGTCCTGGCCTAAACATGTTTAATTTCATTAGATGCTCCATCGGTTTAGGACGTGAAAACAGGGAAAGCCGTGCCCGTGAGCTGTGTGCGATCAAATTAGCAACGCTGGAAAAGCTTGGTTTCAGGATGGCTTTTAGGAAGAAGTGACATGGTCGACTAAGTAAATTAAAAATTAACATACTAAGTTATGGCTTCTTGCCGTTGCTACGTAATTATGAATAATGGAGCATCTTTTAAAAGTTTATTTTACTCCAGCATGCAGCTATGTGGTTATTTAATAATTAGGAGCGTAGATCCAAAGTTTTTTCAAGCAAGACTGCGTGGCCAAAGTACATAGAGCTGTCACCGTGTATTTTACATTATAGTTGTTATCATGGTATTTTTACGACTAATACAAAAACAATAAAAAGTAAGACAAAAAGATTAATTACATAATTTTTAGATGATTAGTTTCCATTTTTAGGATATTTCCCCTCCAAATACCGGGTTTAGTTGTGCAGTATGACGGGTGAGCGGCCGGGTGCTTCCTCGACTTGTTGGGTTATCCATGGCGCCAGCGGACAGTGAATTAGAGTACCCAACCCTGCATACACCTAACAATCCTCTAGAATCCAACAGAGACTCGGAGTGCAAGCCTCGTCGAGTCATTTTTCCACAGTTATTGGTTTAAGAATGTTCTAGACTCACTGGCATTTTGTTAAGAGAACTCCAGCTCATTAAATTATCTTATTAGATTGTTGGACATTGGAATGTTTGCCTAAAAGTGCAACAGCACTTTTGAAACTTAAATTATATATAACAAATCCAATTATTTCACTGTTACGTTTTAGCAATGTTTCAACTGTCGTATTTTTGCGTCTGAACTGTTTTTTTCGTAAATATTTTCGAATGACATAAAAGTTTGGTACATTGTGTCATAAGTATTCCGCCGTAAGGATGTGGGTAAAGGTATAAGCATGGGGAGGGATAATGTGGGTGGACCCGAGCTCGGCTCAGCACGGCACGCCAATAAAACATCAACGACAGCAACAATCTCAACAGCAACAGGGAAAACAGGTAACACGCATCTGTCACTCAAAAAATAATAATAAAAAAAGACAGGAGACGCGGGCATTCGGAATTGTATGATGAATTAGGACAGTTATTTTCCGTACAATGAAACATTTATTGTCAGGATTTGAAGTCTTAGAAATTTCTTTTTTTCTTTGCGAACCGTTTGCCCGGGTCTGACATGCTACACAACACCGAAACAATCACTACACAAGACGACATTACGAAGTACGTGAAAATGCACTCTGGGTGCAATTTATTGTGCCCTTGGTGTGCTTAATAGTGTGATCTGGTTGTGCGTCACAGAAACACGTACAAGTGTTTTAACACAGACCAGCACTTAAAATGAACTAGTTCTCACATTTTAGTTCGTTTGGGTTGAGTTTGTAAGTGGTCATTGATCAAAAAGAGTCCTCTCTAAACCATGACGGTAAATTTTAAATGCCATTCAATTTAGAATTGATGGATTTTTTAAAAAAGAAATAGAAAGAAATGTCCAGCCAACACAGATAAGTCCAAAAGCGGAATTTCGTGCAAAAGAGAGATAGAGTAGAAATAGAATAGATCGAGAGTTCGTACGTGCAGTGCAGTCCGCGTGCACACCACACACCTCTAAGTTTTTCTCACTCTGCACACCACGCTCGGACATAGCTACGGGTGCGTTAGCTAGCCCTTACTCCACTTCACCCATTCGTTTTCACTAATTTAACTCTCGAACTTCTGGAACAATCTATTAGACCTGAGTTTAAACAGACTTGATGGCGTGTAAGGTCTGGCATGAGCTCCGAGAGCACTCTAGGAGAACGAACTACTTGTTTACGTAAGTGAGTGTGCCACAAGTATTGCAAATTAAGGTGACACCCGGGAGGAATTTCTACTTTCAAAAAACAAATCCGATAATTTCAGTTCAATGACTCAGAGACACACTAAGGAGCACCACAATCACACTTGTGTTCTTAATTAGCAGCTTAAAAAAGAAAGAGGAAATTTTTAAAAAGAAAAAATGTACTGGCGAGAAGGCAAGATCATGTCTGTTCCTCACTGGTGTTTCCAACCCCGCTTCGACAGGTCTTAACTCCGCTCATACTCTCGAGTCAATATTGGAAGATCTGTCGATATTGGTTATTCTCTAAAAATGTCTAAGAAAAGAAAAGATTGTCACCTTTCGCACTGTCGCAGCGTCCAACTGGCGATGATCCAGAGCGAAACCATGAATACGAGAAGAACAGTGCCAGGACAGATTGTCATCAGGGTTTTGATGACAAACCGTGTGTTGAAGTTGATGCGGTTCAGCGCACCAATACTCCTAGAAGAGAAATACGGCATTGGTAGAGTTATAGGCGCTCTATGCATGCAAGCAGTGAGCAGCTGGTTGCTCACCTCGAGCTGGCGTCGGTGAACAGCTTGGAGTGCAGCAGCATCACTCGGCAGATGAGGTACAGGCGCAGGAACATGGGCAGCGACAGCGTCACGTCGTACGGCACCCACTTGCTCCCGATGTCCCCGCCCTTGTTGGCCAGCTTGGTGGTCCACAGGAAGTAGTACTGACCCGGGATGGGGTGCACCGCGCATATGACGAGCTCCACGGTGATCTGTGTGATCCTCTGCCAGGTCATGGCTATCCGCCAGTCGTCCGCGCAGTTGTCAATCATGAAAAGCTGTGGGCCAGACAAAGTGTTGGAGCGCACGGTATGCCAAACGTTACAAATAATGCAAGTGAAGCCCCGTCCCCGGCGATCCCCGGTTACACGGCGGAAAAGAAAAAAACAAAAATGATCAGGCGTGTTGGGTGACGAAAGGGACACACAGCGGCGTCCCGGCCTTGCGACAATGGGCGGCGGGAACGCTTTGTGCCCGACGGAGATAGATGATATTCCAATAAATGACAGGGGATATGCGAGGCAGCCGTGAGGGGGGGGGGGGGGGGGCATATAGGCCGGCTCTGCGTACGCTCGCGGGCCTGTCCCACCCATCAAAAAAGCGTAGTACTGATTTTATTACACTTTGCGTGTACTTGATTTTCTAACGAACATTTAGCTTTTTTTGGAGGGGGGGGGGCAATTTGGAATAAGAAGTGCAATATTCTTTGGAAAATCAACTCTACAGTGCTCCCATTTTCTGTTGACGCCCCTTTCGCACACACTCACCTGGACTTCGAGTGCGTGGTAAGCCACTATGAGGCCGAGCAGCACCACCGTCGACACCGAGATGAGGGTCTTGAGCGCGTAGGAGTACGACGAGGCCTGTAGACAGAAGAGGAGCGCGCGTCATGAGATAAGCGTCAACACACTCTGATAGGAGCGAAGGCAGTCCGGCTTATGGGCAAGTCTTCAATCAGCACTGACAGCGGGCGCTGGCGCTCCCCGGCGCTCCCCGGCGCTCCCCGCTCTCCGGCACTCCAGCAGCCCCCAGGGGCCCCAGGGGCGCGGCGTGCCGGGCAGCCCGGGGCCCCGGGGGCCACCTCGCCCCGAGGTAAATGGCCCATGTCAAGGCCCGCTCCAGCTCCGCCCGCCTCCCTCCGCCCGCCTGCACGCATTCCAAGCTGACCCCCGAGGCCCTCGCCTCTTTCTTGGCCTTCAGAGGGAATTTGTCTCACCCCTTCCCCCCTTACAACTTTCCCTGCCTTTCCCCCCCCCCCCCTCCCCTCTTGCCCAGCAGCAGCGTCGCGATCTAGGGAACGCACAGTTTTATAGAGTCAAAATCACAAGAAGTTTTCCTTTTTATGAAGTCGCTTGTCGGAGCGCCCGCCACGGCGAGGGTAGGCACACCCGCCGCGCGCCCCCGCTCAGCGGGCTGCCTGCACGCCCGGCGCTCCCCGCCCCGCGCGCTTAGCGGTCGTTACGTCCCTGAAGCGCAACGAAAAAGGGAAGCGACTTTTTCTTCTTCTCCTCCTCCTCCTTGTTTTTTTTTCTCACGCCCCGGTCTTTGCGCCTCACTCACAGCGCCCCTTACTGCCGCCCTCAGCGCGCCCACGGCTCCGCGGGGCGCCGACACTCCTTAAGGTGTTTGGAGGGCGGCGGGGTGGCGCGGGTAGGGCGGGTTGCGGCGCGTCCCTCCGTGCCCCATGAACTCAGGGTGCGACGCGTCGAGCGGACAAGCGGACCCCGCCCCGCCGGGAGAAGGGAAGAGGGGGGAGGGGGCGCTGCGAGATAACGCTATCCGCGCTCCACTTCAGTTTACGAGTTTCTCGCCCCTTTATACCCGGCTCTTTCGGTACGTCTCCGCGCCCGCTCGCCTCGCATGAAGGCGGCCGGGCCGGCCTCTGTCGAATGTGTCGGCCGGCCGCACATATTGCGCCCGCACTAGAACCCGCAGCACCACCACCACCCGCAGCAGCAGCAGCAACAGCACCAACAGCAGCACCATGGCCAGTCGCACAAGCAGCACCAGCAGCACCAACAGCAGCACCAGCACCAGATCCAGTAGCACAAGAACCCCCACCACTTGCTCCTCCCCCGCCCGTTGCCCCAACATGCGTCGGCAGTCTCAGAAAACACAAACTTATGTTTTCAAATTTAAATTTACAAATTAAAATTCTCGGAAGTGGCTACTTTCCTTTCACAAAACAGGGTATTTTTTTGCCCTCGGCTGCTATAGGCTACACCCGGCCAGGCGCAGTCAAGTCGCCCTCGCCTACCCCCTCGCTGGGCGGTCGCCCCCCAAACCGATTCGTTTCCAGATTGAGCCGTGTCCAAACGCGGCGCGGGGCGAGCATATGCGCCGTCTTTGATGTACGGGCCTGTGGATGACGGCCATCCTTCGTTCGACACTCCCTGGAACACAGCTCCGCCCGCGGCGTGTGCCGATGTGTGTGCTCTCTCGGGGGCGTGGCGTGGCGTGGCGTGGCTCGGCGTGACGCGCGAGTCCCTCTACGGGAGACTTGCAGATTTATTCGCGGCACTTCCGGGTGCCAGCCAGCGCTGCGCGGTACATTATGAATGTCTTTACAGAGCTTGAACACGGGGCCGACCGGAGTTTGGGGAACTGGGAGGAGTAGGGTAGCAAAAGCAAACTGACAAACTGGTAGAGAAATTATTTGGACGACCGTGGCCGGCCCACGGGGGAGAAATTTAAGTGGACTCTTGCCAGGAGCTTCCCGTGGAGGGAGGCGGAGGGGGGGGGGAGTAAAGAAGTTGAGCACGTGTAGCCGTTCCTCTTGGTAAATGGGGTCGGGAGACAAGCACACGCCAAATTGTCCGACCTCATCCTTTCGTACCCACCGCACAGTTAAAGTCTTACGAAGCAAAATGCCAAATGCTTCGTACCTACGAAGGATTTTCTCCTTACGAAGCGTCCAAATCCTTCGTATTACAAAAGATTTGGCATTTTTCTTCGTAAGACTTTAACAGTGCGCACTATTAATAAAAAGCACAAATAAAAACACTGTAAAACGTAGAGCGACATAGGCTTTCATCGCTCTGTTAGAGCGATTTTTGCGAATAAATTACTTGTCACGAGTCTTCTTCGTAAAAGAAAATGTCGCAGAAACAACTCTAAACGAGCGACGTTTGCGAAAATGACTCAAAATGAGTCTTATTCGTAACCAAAAATGTCGCGAAAGTGACTCCACACGAGCGATGTAATTAATATCGCTCCCCAAAGAGTCATATCAAATTGGATTCACAATATCGCTCTATTTGGATCGTATTTGGTCACTCCTTTACTTGTAGTGAACCATAGACGGAAGGGTAAAAATATATAGGACGCGGCGCGAACTGGGGAAAATAGGGTTATAGGCGGCAAAATCTGCCGCACAAGGCAAACATGAGCGGGAAGATGAAATGGAAGCGAAAGCGGCGGCGGCGCCAGGACAGAGCGGATAAAGCGAAAGAGGAAAGTTTGCGTCGCGCCGCCTCCAATGATTGAGTGAGGCGGCGGCCAACTTAAAACTTTCATTCTTCTTTGCTACAAGGAGGGCCCAGCAGGCCGAGCAGCGGGACTAGCAGCGGCGAATAAGAGTTAAGCCAGGCCAGGGATGGCCGCCATTCATTGTCGATCAATCAGCCCCGAGCAGCAGCAGGTGCTGCACAGGCTGCAGCGGATTAAGGCGAAAAACAGGCGGGAGTCGCTGGAAGTTTGGCTCATTAGCATGATTTAATGGGACATTGCCAAAGGATTGTCGGGGGTATGTAGTACGCCCCCATCTCCCAGGCACCTTTTTTTTAGCATTAACTGAAGGGGGGGACGAGAAAGAAAGACAAGTTGAATTGAACGACAGTCTGCCACCTACCACTCTCTACTCTCTAGTCCTTCCTTCGTCGCGAGCGGCGAGCGCTGCTGGTTGATGAATGGCGCTGGATTTAAAGGACTCTCCATTCCGCTGCGCGACGCGCGCCGAACGGCTGAACTATTCGCGAACAGCAGGACGGGGCACAGCCCGGCGGGGCAGCAACGACAAGGCGCTGCTTATCTCAGGAGGGCGAGGCCACCCGCCCCGCCCCGACCGGGATTCTGCTTGCCCAGAATGTTGAGATTTTCCCGGCCCAAACCCGAACGGCCTGTCACTTGAGGCCGCCATTTTTACCCTCCGCTCCCCTCTCTTTTTACACCCCCTTACTACCACAAGGCCTTAGGGTCGGCCAAATATATATATATATTTTTACTCCCTCTAGCCTTCCTGCCCCGCCTGGCCTCTGCCTCTACCGCCTTTTTCGCGGGACAATAGCAAACAATTCACAGCGGACGACGGTGGTGGTGGTGGTAGTGGTGGTCGTCGTCGTCGTCGGTGCACCTGGGGGAGTGAAAGGGGAGAAGTGGAGTAGGGAGAAGTGGAGAAGGGAGAGGCTGGAGGGG